CCCGTTGCGTAGCGGCAAATACTAGTCGGAGCGGCAAAACATTCACAAAACAAAAGATAATACATGCAAAATGATGAAAAATATCTAACATCTTTTACATCCACAATTCAAAAGATGTCTTTTGAAATGCCTTACTAGGAAGTTGGTTCAATATATACATAGCAGTTTCCAAAGCATGTATCCATGACGATATGGGTAAAGATAAATAACTTAACATACTCCTTACCATCTCCATCAAACTACGATTACACATTTCAACTACTCCATTCTATTGTGCATGCCTGACATAGAATATTTATCACGTATATATGCCATGCATTCCAAGGAGTTTAGCGAATGGACTAGGGTATTGCCCTAGTTCATTATATTTTCGTAATATTCCTCACCTCTACCAAACCTTATAATGTTTACCTTTTTAACAGTTGTCTTTCAACCTCGTTAAGATACACCTCAAGGGTGACTACTACTTGAGATTTATCATGCAACAGATACAAGTAACCGTACCGTGAAGAAACATCAATAAAGGTGATAAAATATTTTTTTCTTGTCAAAACTTCGAAAGTCAAATGGGAAAAAAAATGTTAGTGTGAATAATTTCAAGAAGTTGTGTTCCTATTGCGGCTCTTTTCTTGGTTTTCTTGATTTGATTTCCCTTAATACAATCCACACATACGCCAACATCAATAAAATCAACATTATGGAGAATTCCATCATTTACTAATCTTTGGAACCTTTCTTTAGATATATGATCCAAATATTCATGTCACCTAGAAGCACAATTTTACTCTACAAAAGGACGTTTCATTCCAATATTAACATACAAGGTAAGGTGGGACTCGGCAAATTGTTTTTCAAGTTTCAATTTGTATGAGACATAATCTAAAATCACATAATCAATAAAATGATTTTATTTAATCAAATTGAAAAATCCATTCCCAAATTTTAAATAATGACTACAAGTAGTACGTATGAATGAATCCATCAAGTATTATAAAAAATTTTAATGAAATTTATGAAACATATGGAAGCATTAGGTTTATGTTGCGTATCTATCGTAAGTATACGAATTACGATATCATAATAAGTAATATAATGGTCATATGAGTCTGGAGGATCGTTACCACAGGTACTATCATTTAATTCTAATTTATTACTTCTAACTCCTAATTGAAGAAAAATAAATCATCAGATTATGTAATTATAATAAAGTTATCTGAAAGCACACAATTAACTAGAATTTGGTTTACATTTTCTAAATTTTTCACATGAAAATTTCAATGTGATAATGTACGGGAATTGTTAGTATTTTGATTTTTGTATGTTAGAAGGAGTTTTTAATTTATCGGATTTGTTATGAACCAATAGGAAGTTTAGTATTCCAGAAAATTTAGTATTCGAGCCTACAAATATAAAGCCAAATTATTCATAACTTTCCCAAAAAAATAAAAAAATTAATTAAAAATAAAAAAATTAATTATAATAAAAAAATTTCATTTTCAATTCTCATTGTGAAATTAAAAAAGGGAGAGAAGGAAATAAGGTATAGAGTCTCGTTCTTATTGAAATTTGGAATCAGATTTTTATATATTGGGCAGCTGAAAACAAAAAAATGAATTAGTGCATTTTGCTTTTGAAACTCTATTAACATAAACCAACTAAGGGTCTGTTTGGCATAACTTTTAAAAAGTCAAAAGAAACTTTTGGACCCGTTTAGCAAAATTTTTAAAGTGTTTATTTTAGTTAGAAGGCCAATAAAAATATCTTTCTCCAAAAACTCTTTAATAAGAAGCAAAAGTCACATGCCAAACAGGCTTCAAACATATCTTTAAATATAAAATATACAATACATATTTTGTAAGTCAGTCTCGACGCTATAGTGAAATAATTTTATTTTCAATTTAAATATTTTATTGTTGATATTTATTTTCTTGACTTTGTAGATTGTAATATTGTTTAGTTATTAGAATTGAACTTATTTTTACTTATTTGCTTGATTTTGTAGCTTCTTGAAGTTAGTTTTTTCAAATGACAGAGTGACAAGTTTTATACAATAAAGATAAGGTTATGAATTTTATTTTTTAATTACAAAATTATTAATTAGGAATTAATTAAAATTCAACTAATACATTAAGATCTATAAAAATAGGATTCTGTTAATATTTACAAATTATGTAGAATTTTATTCAAATCAATGAGAATTCATAAATCTTAATAAATATAATGAACATAATAAAATAAAATAAAAAGAAAATAATAGTACTAATAAACAATTTTCCCAATTGTGTTAAGGAGGAAGAAATAAGCACAGTAGTAGTAAATATTTTTCTGTCGTGATTTTCTACATTTAGTTGAATTTTTGTTTTTGTTAACTAATCAAGAAGATTAGAGTGTACGTGTAACGCGAGCTGAAGGTTGACTAAGAAAGTTGACCCGTCATTATGGCTTACATGCTACTCTTAGCGCAAGTAAAATAGATTTTGTCATGTATTAAATATGTAAATACTATTGGTAAACTCTTAATAAATGAACATTCTTAACGTTGTCCATTAATCGTGCACATTGAAAGAGACTCGACCTTCGCCTACCTCAGCAGTTCATCAACAACAAATTGTTGTTGGTAGAGTGTGAGTGCATCTCACTGCATTTTAGAATTCAATTTTAAGCGATTATACAATACAAATACATAACAAAAATAAGTCATAATAACTAATAAGTTTTCCAATACTCGTAGGACTCCCTCATAATATCCAATCAACTAGGTCTAATTTCTATGCGCAAAACGGGTACAATTATATATACAAACACAAAATACAGTATAGTACGATACGCTTTCACGATTCCCATCATTATTATTTTACCTCAAACGTTTATTCTAGACAGCATACAAAATAAAGTGCAATACAATATGTGTCATCATCATCATTGTGGTAATCATCCTTATTTCACTTCAAGCATGGATCATACGTACGTGCTAAATAAATTGCAATGCATCCACGACTGTCATCGTTATTAACGTACCTCAAGTGTGTGTTATACGTACGATATAGAAAATTTGCAATAGGACACACGTTCACGATTGTCAACGTGATTATTGTTCTCATTTTACCTCAAGCTTGGATCATACGCATGATACAATGTAATACGACACGTGTTTATGATTGTCAACGTGATTTTCGTCCTTATTTCAGCTCAGTTGTGAGTTTTCAACGTGATTATCGTACTTATTTCTTTCAACGTGATTATCATTCTTGTTTTACTTCAAACTGCAAATCATACATACAATACAAAATAAATTACATTACAATGTGCGTTTACAAGTGTAATTGTGATTATCGTCCTTTCTTCACCCCAAGCATAGATCGTGATTATCGTCTTTCTTGGGTGGGTTTCCATGCATCACATGTTGCTCACAATTCCCACTCATTCAAAACTTCCCTTCGAAAATCCCAAATATAACCCCACCACACGTTACAAGAAAACCAGTCCTCTAACCTGCCCGCTTCATCCCCGTTAGTCTATTGCTAGGTTTTTATTTTCCCTTTCTGCCACTTTCATCGTGCTTCACCCACCCCACCCTACCCCCTTATATAATTCAATTTCTCCTTTGATTTTTGTGTTTTGGACCTGGTACATGCCCACTCACCCCATTAATATATCTGCCCTAGCACGAAAAAAATTATAGTAAAACAAATCCTAAATTAACATCCCCAAATCAAAACCTCCACTGCAAGAATTAAATCTTGATCTTCAGTTATAAGGTATCACGCCCTCCAATTCGTTTCTGTAAATTTATGATTTATCTTAGTCATGCCATTGTTTTATTTATATATAGATTATATATACATACCCATATATGTAACATTGGGTTATATGTCAACAATGTCGTGTGTGCGTGTAACCTGCTAGAGCTCCTTTCATGCCCAAAAACGGTGACCCAGAAGAGAAAAATAACATAATTTTTGCCAATTAATGTGAATTAATCTAAACATTTTTTTCTTGGATTTTGATTATGAATTCGCATCGCGTGTTCAGTGAATTTGGTACTTGCTATGTGGACCCATTTTTTATTTTTTGTGAATAATTTTGGCTGAGGCGTCTTTTTATACTTTCTGATCCGGGCAAAATTATTCTCTAATTTTGCTAGGGTTTTTAATTTCACTTTAATTACGGTATTTTAGTGTTCAATTTGATTTTTCCCCTAATTTGGAGATTTGACTGCAATTTGGAAGCCCATTTATTGAAAGATTTGATTTTTTGACGGGAAATTACTTAAAGAATCAAGTTTTCGAGTAAAACGTGGATGATTTTCACTAATTTTTGACCTTTTTACCGTGTTCAGTTCAAATATATTATGGAGAATGTGATTTCCTGCCTTCTTTTGTTTTATATTTTTCTGGGACTTGAATATGTATTATAAATACATGCTGACTACGTATTTAATATATTTATGCAGATATGGTTAATTAGTTTATAGTTTTCATGCATTGAGCCGGAAGAAGTTTAATAATGAGTATTATTAATGACGATACGTGGCATAGTTGGCAATTTATATGACATCTTCTCATTAACTTTTATTCATTTTGAATCGTTGAAGTAATTGTTTTTGATGTAACCGGTTTTAATTTCTTCGTTTTATTCTGTGAAACATCATTTGATTTTATTTGCTTGATATATGTGAAATTTCAACATCTTATTACTTATTGAAGATCATCTGAATTTTCATTTTCATTTATCTATTCATATTCAAGGTTGGTTGGGAGAGTAACAGAGATCATATGATCTCGAGAATGTAAGTTCTTAAATCTCTACATTGTAAAAACGAAGAGGAGGTTAGTTTCACTTAACCCAAGAAATGAAATGAATAATATAATATAAAGAACATTTTAAATGAATCAAATGTGTCGTTTATGTGTAACAGTTTCCAGTTGTACATACATAGTATATTTTACTTGTTGGTAAGGTTGTCTGTTTGGTTAGACTGGTGAAGTCAAATTGTTGGAGATAAGTTGATCTGACTTTCACTAGATTCGGCTTTTCCCCGGGTATTTTGATCCTTTGTCAAGGCAAATTGTTGAAGCCCTGAATTTGTACTGAACTACAAGGGGTTTCATGAAGTTATCAATATTATAAATTTGAAACCTGCAATCTCACGAGATATGTTGGGGTTAAGTATCAAGCATATTGAGTTATGGTATATAGCATTCCTTTTTATGATCATTAAGGGCATGGGCTGTTACAAAAAAAGTTTCTTTACTATTTTGCATTTTTGAAAATGGAACGTAATCTCGAAATTTATTATGTCAGATGTTTGTTTTCAGTGCTTTTGACCCTTTTATGGTGTTTAGTACAAATATGTTATGATCAATGTGACTTTTTCAACCTTTGTTTTTCGTTTATATTTTTCTGAGACATTCATGTGTGCATACGAGTAATCTACGTATTTATGCAGGTCTGCTTCTGCCTGTCTATAGTTTTAATGCATTGAGCTGGAAGAATGTGAACATAGTACTATTAATGACTATATGTGGTATATTTGGTAATTTTAAAGGCATCTTCTCATTAGCTTTTATTTATTTTGAATTGTTGAACAAATTGTTTTTGGATGGAACCATTTCTAATTTCTTGGTATTATTCTGCTAATAGTCATTTGGATTATAAGTTGCTTGATGTATGGTAAATCTAAACATTTAATAAAGTGCAATTCTAACTTACATTTACCTGACACCCGTAATTTCCCCGTGTTAGGCTGTGGATATGTTTCGGTTTAACTGACGTATGAACATCACCTGGCACTAAAACTTCTAGTATTAGATTATGGAAGTGATTCCCAGTTCTGGCGTAAATTGTATTGGAGAATCTAATTGCCCCAAGCAGGGATCAAACGCATCTATCAAGTGTGATGGAATATCAGACTGCACTGAAGACATCGTACCAGTTAAAGCAGCAGAGCTCAAAGTTGATGACTTAACGCTTGATGCAGGAAGGCCTCTCGAAGAGAGAGACGGTGGAGATCAATTTATTGTCCAAGGAGTCCCTGCTTCAGATGGCTGCTATAATGGAGATGCATATTATGATTCTGATGTTGATGGACAAAATTTATCTTGTGATTCCCGTAATTCTGCAGATGACAACTTAGATAAACGAGGTGATTTAGCAGGACCAAACCCTGTCTCTGACAACTCCCAGTTCACTTTGGATACAGCTGAAAGTGTGCTGCCGCCTAAAAACCAGGAGGGAGAATCATCTAATTTAGAAATCCGCCTAGAACAAGACGAACCTGTAGCAGTGTGGGTGAAGGTACATTACTCTGTTTATTTTGATTCTGTTTCCCGCTTGCATTCTATGGCAACTTCTGGTTTATGTTTCAACATGGATTGCTCAGAGGTGTAGAATGAAGTAATTTTGACATAGATAAGTAGTCTTGATTTGGGATATAGGACCTGATAGATGATCAGAAGATTCTGCTGTCAAATGTATTTATTTAGTTGAATCAAACATCCACTCTAAACCATCCTAAGAATTAAGAAATAAATTGTGAAATGCACTGGATGAAATCTATCCCATGGAATGCAGAGGTTCAGTTTATAAGACACTAATATTCATATTTCTACATTGGAAGTATTCATTAAGACCTTGTACCGATAATGGCGCAGATAGAATATATGTAGAAATACTCTTTCTACAATGGCCTTCAAACAAATGAATTAAAAAACTGAATTTCTAGAATATGTTGCTGGAAAGTGGGGAATAAGTGTCCTAATGATTTTATTATGATTTATTTGAATGAAAAACTGAATTTCTTTGATTTATTTTGTTGACACGAGGTCATAGTTTGAAAAAACATAAACGGGTACTGAGGCGTTTTTTTGTCATGAGGCGGGACGTAAGCCTCAAAACATTTTGAGGCGTAAGCCTAACCACAAACAAAACAGGTGTAATCTGCCAAACAGAACAGGTGCAATCTGGCGTCGATGCACTGAATAAGAAAAAAGCCAAGCAAAGTCTAGTGAAACAATTTTAAATTGTAAGTCACTAGAAGAAGGCAGAAGCAAAGAAGAAAATAAACATAAAAGCAGCACTTGAGGACCTCTTTTTAGCGAAGGATTGAAGATAAGTTTTCTGGCTGCCATTTAGTTCTGGGAAGATTTCTGACTGCCGTGTATGACTGTCGTGTAGTTCTAGCCATCTAGGAAGATTTCTGTCTGCCGTGTAGAAGGATTTCTAGCTGCCTTTTGGTATTCTAGATATTTTAATATTTTATTTGGCCCAAAATGTCTTTTTAAATGGGTTCTTCTCTTTTTTAAAGAGGGTCTTTTTTAATTCCTTTTCAAAAACCTTAAAAAAACGTACTTCAAATGAGGCGCACGCCTCATTTTTTTTGCCTCAAATGTAGAGGCGTGCGCTTCATTTTTTTTTGCTTCACAAATTGAGCCTCGAGGCGCAGAAGCTGCGCCTCACAGTGAGGCGGGCCTCAACAGGGTTTTTTCATACCTTGTGACGAGGTTGCATGTTAATCATAAAATGTAATTGAATTATCTCTTTATCTAGTTCAAAGAAAATTGAATTTCTTTTTATTTATATTGTTGACACAAGATTGAGTGTTAAGCATTATTCATAATTTAATTATTTCTTAACCTAGTTCATATGGAAAATGCTATAAAAGCTATGATCAGCCTATCTGGATAGGAAACCCCCTCCTAAAGCACCATAAATCGTCAACATAATTTCTTTCATTTATTGAAATAAAGCAAATATTGTGATGAAATTCACTCTAAATCTTATCATTTGTGAAATACCAAATTTGTCCAGTTCTCTGAGAACACATCATACCTCAAGGTAATTATGGTGTAAACCACATCTTCCTCATTTTTGGAGGCTGAAGAGCATATTTATCAAGAAAGTATATTTCCAGGCAATCTATGGAAGAAGTAATAGAAGTGAAATAACTTTCTTTAAGGTGAATAAAGAAACTTCCAATGGATAATTTACCTTCCTCTATAATTTCATCAAAAGCTCTACTGTTTGCTCTATCATTGCACCACATTAAAGACACACAGAATCCAAAGAATGGATTAATTTCTTGCATGGAGCAGATCCTGTGCCATAATTAGTAAATAGCAGTGGTCTTTTGGTTCTTGCCTTCAATATTTCTACCACAAGGAGATTCTTAAAATACTCAAATGTGATGCTTATGCCAGTTCTTCAGGAAACATCTTTTGAAAGTATTTCATGCTAATAATTGTCTGTTTATATGCTATAGTGGAGAGGGAAGTGGCAACCAGGAATTAGATGCGCAAGAGTGGACTGGCCATTTTCGACTTTGAAAGCAAAACCAACTCATGACAGGAAACAGTATCTTGTAATCTTCTTTCCTCGCACAAGAAATTATTCTTGGGCAGATGTACAGCTAGTTCGTCCAATCAGTGAATTTCCGCAGCCCATTGCCTATAAGACACACAAAGTTGGTGCGAAGACAGTCAAAGATTTGACTCTTGCCCATCGGTTCATCATGCAAAAACTGGCTGTTGGCTTGTTAAATATTCTTGATCAATTAACTCGCGAGGTTTGCTTTTGAAAGTGATCAAACACATGTTTATATGTCTGTCTTTGTTTTTGTGCATGTGTATAGACGTTTCTGTTTTGGCTACTGTTGATCTTCTACAATGTTCCTACTAAAACTTTCTGAAACAATTTAGGGTTTGGTAGAGACTGTTCGTAATGTGACGGTTTTGAAAGAATTTGCAATGGAGGCTTCCCGCTGTAAAGGTTATTATGATCTTGGAAGGATGCTTGTGAAACTTCAGAATGTAAAACCTTCCCTCCATTTAGACATTGATACTTGTGTTCAAGCTACATTCTTTTTGTTCATATCTTAATCTTTTCCTTTGCATATCTATATTGCTTTAAATCTCTTCCTGCAAGTGCATTACCTTTAGAACAAATCTTTTGTTTCTAAAATAGACTCTGGATGCCCTAATTTAAAGAATTTATTAAATCCATGAAAAGGTAAGTATGGGGTAGGTAGGTTCACGTGTCATAAATGTTATTTTTGCGAAGTATGTTGGTCTTTTCCAATAAACCCACCTTTGTCTTTCACATTTTCTTTTATAATTGAGTAGACACTTATGTTTTTTTAATTGCTGTTTATAACACAAAGACTATTCCTCATGTTTATTTCAACACGTAGGCGGTGATTTTGAGTCATTTGGTTTAGTTTATGTACCCATGTTACTTTCTGATTATTCAAATAGAACAATAGAAGGCTGGTTTTCTCTGGTTTTTGACAGAAGACTGTTGGTGGTGTCATTCATCATGGGAGAGCACTATTCGCTTAATCAAAACTAATGTGAAATTTCAAAGTCGAAAATTATTAGATTTATAGGTTATGGCAAAATGGGATTCCAGACAATATTTTACCAGTTGCTTTTTTTTTACTCGGATCTAAATTAACTCTCACTATCTTTTGCAGATGATACTGCAGCACTGCTTAAGTTCAAATTGGCTACAAGATTCTTTGCAGTCTTGGGTGCAACGATGCCATGATGCAAGTAGTGCTGAATGCATTGAAATTCTGAAAGATGTATGCCCTGCTACAAGTTCTTAAATTGTGCATTAATTCCTTCAATTCTGAGTCACTTTGTACCGTGCTTATTTGTTCCCTAAAAAATCTTTGTGAATTCATGAGCAGTTTTATAGAATACTTAATTTTTAGTTATGTTCTACCTTATTTTACCTTTTTCCCCTGTTGGTAAAAGGTGGTGTTCTTCTTCTTTTAGTTCATAGTGTGAGATTTAGGCTTTAGAAGAGCATCACTGTCCATTGCTTCCTTTTAGAATTTCCAGCCTGGAGCACATCCAAACCCATTGATATCGGAAATGTTGCAAGCCCGTTGGAATGTCAATTTATGGTTTTTAATTGACAGGGTTGAATATGGTCAAGATAAAACTTGAACTGAATTATTTGTACCTAGAAAGAGGGAACTTGTGTGTACACTCCAGAGTCCTGATTCATTGTACATTTAGTCTGATATCCACTTGATTCATCTTTTTGTGATTACTTGCAAGGCATGATCTTTTGCACGCTTTTCTCATTCTTTTGACCTCTCTTACAATATTTCTTGAAGTGATTTGTCATTCCGGATTACGGATACTGCAGAGATGCAAAATTTTTCAAAAATGTTTTAATTCCCCTGATGTTGGATACTGGAACCCAATTCCAGTTCATGTTTGTCTGAAGAATATAGATATTTTTAGTTGGGCTAAATTCCAAGTGCTGCTTGTTTGTCGTTTGCCTTGTGGAGTTTCAAACGTGCTGAAATTTGTGTGAGAATATTGTAAACTAGACTCTTTAATTTCTTATTAATAGGACTCATATGGGATGGAACAAGGGATACATCCTTCAACATTTGACAATGAATTAATTCCTGATCATTTGGAATTTTAGCAATGACTGCTCTAACTCATTCCTTATATAGGAATTGGCTGATTCTATCATTTGGAAGGAGGTAAACTCACTAGCAAATGCAGCAGCACCAGTCGAGCTGGGCTCTGAGTGGAAGAGCTGGAAACATGATGTTATGAAATGGTTTTCAATCTCGAATCCAATATCCACTGGTGGAGGCTCAGACCAATCAATTAATGATAGTCCATCTTCCATGGAGCTTCTACTGTGCAGGAAGAGGCCAAAGCTTGAAGTTCGCCGTGCTGATTCACATGCATCACATGCGGACATTCCGAGTTTTCATCAGGCTGTTCCTGTGGAAATTGACTCTAGTTTCTTTAATGGCTGTGATGTTGTAAACATTGCATCATTAGGTTCTGTGCTTCCAAAGCATGAAATTTCTATGGCAGACACTGCTCTGGCAGGGTCTTCGAATTGCATGGCTAACAAATTGGATAACATAGTTGTTGAGGCTGCAAACACGGAGGGCATTCAGTCTAAAGACGTGGAGTTGACTCCTGTTAATGTTACCCAGAAGTCCTTAGACCCTGGAAGTCATAATCGACAATGTGCTGCTTTTATTGAAGCTAAAGGAAGGCAATGTGTGAGGTATGCCAGCGAAGGGGATGTCTATTGTTGTGTGCATTTGGCTTCTCGTTTTGTTGGGAATTCAGTAAAAGCGGAAGCAACGCCTCCTGCTGACTTACCAATGTGTGAAGGTACCACTGTTCTTGGTACTAAATGCAAACATAGAGCTCTAACTGGAACTTCTTTCTGTAAGAAACATAGGCCTCACACTGGTAAAGAAATGACCCCTCCCGGTGATAGACTTAAAAGGAGGCATGAGGAAAGTTTCATGAGTTCAGAGGTTAAATATCCTCCAAATATTGTACATGCTGGAGAAGTTGAAACTTCTGCTCGAGTAGATCCATCATCTTTAATGAGAAAAGGAGCCCTCCATGAAATCAGCTTACTTGAGATGCCTGATCAGTCACAACAAGAGCATAAAAGTGATGACATGGTTCACTGCATTGGGAGTAGTAGCGAACCCTGCTTAGAAAGTCCTAAACGGCATTCACTATACTGCGACACACACCTACCAAGCTGGCTCAAACGTGCAAGAAATGGCAAGAGCAGGATAGTATCAAAGGAAGTGTTTATGGAGCTCTTGAAATATTGTGGTTCAAGGGAGAAAAAATTGCACTTGCACCAAGCCTGTGAACTCTTTTACAGGCTTTTCAAAAGTATCCTATCTTTGAGAAACCCAGTTCCAAAGGAAGTTCAATTTCAGTGGGCCATTTCTGAAGCATCCAAAGATATTAGAGTAGGGGAGTTCTTGATGAAGCTGGTATGCAGTGAAAAGGAGAGGCTGAAGAAGCTCTGGCGATTTTCAGATAACCAAAACGTGCAAGCTTCATCTATTGAGGAATCCGTTTCTAATCCTATTCTGGTCTGTAATGATAAGGATCAAGACAGTGAAAATGTCATCAAGTGCAAAATCTGCTCAGATAAGTTTCTTGATGACCAAGCATTAGGGACACACTGGATGGATAGTCATAAAAAGGAAGCTCAATGGCTCTTCAGGGGTTATGTTTGTGCAATCTGCCTGGATTCTTTTACTAATAAAAAAGTCTTGGAAACTCATGTTCAGGAGAGGCACCACGTGCAATTTGTTGAACAGTGCATGCTTTTGCAGTGCATTCCTTGTGCTAGTCATTTTGGGAATCCGGAGCAGTTATGGTTGCACGTGCTCTCTGTTCATACTTCCAACTTAAAGCTGTCAAATGCTGCTCAAATGCAAGACCAAGGATCTTGGCAGAGAGTTGAGCCTAATAAGTCAGATCCTGCAGAAAATATGAATTCTGAGAGTCAGTCAGGTATCCGGAGATATACTTGCAGGTTTTGTGGATTAAAGTTTGATTTGCTACCTGATCTTGGACGCCATCATCAAGCTGCTCATATGGGACCAACTTCCATTGGTCCTCACCTGACAAAGAAGGGGATTCAATTTTATGCACAAAAATTGAAATCAGGGAGACTTACTCGTCCTCGATTTAAAAAAGGTTTAAATTCGGTATCATATAGGATTAGGAACAAAAGTGTGCAAAATTTGAAAAAACGCGTGCAGGCATCAATTTCAATTAGCCCAGCTGAAATTACAGTAAAATCTCATGCAACTGAGGCTGCCAATCTCGGTGGATTAGTGGATACTCAATGTTTAGCTGTGGCAAAGCTATTGTTTTCTGAAATTAAGAAAACAGAACCACGGCCAAGTAACTCGGAGATTTTATTAATTGCCCGCTCTGCTTGTTGCAAGCTAAGCCTGCAAGCGTTGCTGGAGACAAAATATGGAATAATTCCAGAACAGGTATACCTGAAAGCTGCCAAACTGTGCAGTGAGCATAACATTCCAGTGGAATGGCACAAAGAGAGTTTCATTTGTCCCAAAGGGTGCACACCAACTGAAAGACCACCCCTACCATCTCTGGCAGTGCACACAGCAGACAGTATAGTCAAGATAAAAAATGCTGTTACTTCAAACTTTGGAACCAATGAGTGGACAATGGACGAGTCTCACTGTGTTATTGATTCCCGACATTTCACACAGGATCTTACAGAGAGAAATATTATTTTATGTGATGACATAAGTTTCGGACAGGAATCAGTTCCAATAGCATGTGTGGTGGATGAAAGTCTTTTGAATGCAGATGCGTCTGATGGCCAAATTACTGAATATTCCTTTCCTTGGGAGAGCTTCACCTATGTTACAAAGCCGTTGCACGATCAATCCCTTGTACTTGAAGCAGAGGTATCTTAATGCAACTTGTTGGTGTTCTTCTATTATGATGCAGATGCCGTATAGGTTAACGTCCATTGCATCTTGTCCTACGCTCCTGAATCAAACTAGCTTTGTTGCTAGTTTATAGGATAATATTCTTATTTTCTGTTTCTGTTTCTGTTTCTGTTGCTGCCTTCGGCAAACCTAAATCCTTCAATATTATACTTTAGTAATATCTTTACTCTAGTAAGGATTTGCAATTTTCTGCTAATTAAACGAAAATGCATTTTGAGTAAGATGTATTACCTCTTCCTCACATTCATTTGCAGAGTTCTCAACTGGCGTGTTCTTGTGCATATTCAAGGTGCTCTTCTGAAATGTGCGACCATGTGTATCTTTTTGACAATGATTATGAAGATGCAAAAGACATATATGGCAAGCCCATGCATGGCAGGTTTCCCTATGATGAGAGAGGTCGAATTATTCTTGAGGTACACATTTCTTTTCATGTCTATATAATAAAATTCTTTTCTCTTCTAAAATTTATTTCTTTTGTATTTTTGTTGATTATAGATGGAAAAAACTACACTAACCTGGTCATAGGGCATGACTTTTGTATTTAAAAGACATTTGGAGTTTGGTAAATCACATTTCCTGGCAAACACTGTTCTGAGGTTTTGCATCAAAACTTTCTATTGGCAGATGAATGATTTCGCTGAAGTTCACCAAATTTTAAAATGGGTGGTGATATGAAAAAAGAAAATATTAATAAAATAAGATTTTCCTTGCTGAATAAATGCTTTTTTTGCATCCAAACGTTAGATACATTCTATCGAATATAATTGCACAATCACATGTTCTCCTTCTAATGCTTGCTGCATAGTTCCTGCTTAATAGTGTTGTTGAGTGGTGGGTAGAATACTTGTCTTGATGGATCAATGAATCAATAGATTGTATGATACAGTGTTTTCTATTGATTGTGTTATCTATTTGAGTCAAATTTGTGTTTATTCTTGCTTCACGGTGAATGGATCTGTTCTTGTGCTTCTTCTGTGATTCTATTCTCTATTAAATAGAAATGCTTGTCCCTAAATTTGCTAGGAGGGCTACCTAGTTTATGAATGCAATCAGAGATGCTGCTGCAGTAAAACTTGTCAGAATAGGGTTTTGCAAAATGGAGTGCAAGTGAAATTGGAAATATTCAAGACAGAGAAAAAGGTAACTGACCATCTGTTTTGAATCTGCTGGAGCATTCTCATATGTTGGCATGTTGACTCAGGGTTGGGCAGTAAGAGCAAGAGAAGCAATACTTCGTGGCTCCTTTGTATGCGAGTATATTGGGGAGGTCATAGATGAACAAGAAGCAAACAAGAGATGCAATAGGTTTGGCTGTCCTATCCACTTGACCTTTTCTGATCTTTCTGTTCTGGATTGAGTGTTCTTTTTTTTGGTCCTTATATATTTTGGTGTTTCTCTGTTTGGAAAAGCAGGTATGACAAAGAAAGTTGCAGGTATTTTTATGAGATCGATGCTCATATTAATGATGTGAGCAGATTGATAGATGGGCCAGTTCCATATGTGATTGATGCGACAAATTATGGAAACATTTCACGTTTTATTAATCACAGGTGAGGGAATTTTTTTTGGCTCTATCTGCTCTGGTGTATTTCTGGTCCATCTTTGTCTGTATTCCACATTATCCGTGTGCATTTCTAATTTGAAGAGAATATTTTTCTGAAGGAAAATTTTTGACAAGGATTTGTCAAACTCTGAACCAAACAGAATCCTATTTCATGATATAGCCAAGTGTCACTATGACAAAGCTGAAGAGTAAATACGTTTTGGTTGCTGTCCTTGTAGTTTTCATGTTTAGGAATAACAATGCTTCTCTAGTTCCATCTTTGCCTGGTTATGTATATAATGGGCAAACGAGGATGTTTCATTGGTTGAAAATAATAATGAGATGAACATGTTAAAAATTAGTCTTTTAAGAAGAAATACGATGGTTTAACAGGGTCGATGAATTACTTGATAAATGATCATAAAGCTTCTGTTGGTTTCTGTATTTTTCGGATGGACATCAGAATCAACTCTTTTTAACCTTCATTTATGCCAGTAAGGATGAAAACATTTATGTAAATAGAAAACTTGTTTCAAGCTGTTAAAATGCAACCGGGCAATCAGCATCAGAGGGAGTATTGTGGACCTCCCCACAAAGTACAAGTAATTGTTTGTGTTTATGTCTCCTTATTTTAAAACAAAGAGAAGGAATGAAATCTTGTCATTAACTTACTGAGCTCTAGAATGAATGGTCATAGATTATGCTTTTTATGCAAATCTCCTTTTAATTTGAGATGTAATCTTTATTTATGTTTTTCAATACCTCTTACTGTATTCCTTTGATGTTAATTTAATTCTCCTCTTCTGTTTTCTTTTTCTTTTTTTTCTACTTAGTTGCTCGCCAAATCTCGTGAATCACCAAGTTCTTGTGGAAAGCATGGATAGTCATCTTGCACACATTGGTCTCTACACCGTTCGAGATGTAAGCACTATCCTTCTTTTCCTTGAGCATTAGTGACATGTTTGGTGGGGAGGATAAATAGCACTAGATGATATCAAGGAACATAAAAAGTAAAATCTTTTCTATTATATTTAGTCTGTCCTATATCGAGCACCAAGCATGCACTAATGGCTTAATGAATGCTTTAGTGTATCTTTATTGATATGAGTCTTGTTTCCTCTTCGGTTTTCGCCTGATTGTGACCATTACAAGCAGATAGCTGTAGGCGAAGAGTTGACTTATGATTTCCGCTACAAGCTATTGCCTGGAGATGGATGTCCATGCCTATGTGGATCTTCCAATTGCCGAGGGAGGCTTTATTAAATTATTTGTGGATGATCGTGAGAGCTTTGTGGCATTCAGAGGCTTGCTGTCTTCCTGTGGACAGTAAAGGACAAGATTTTGAGATCTGCTGGACATTCCTTGCAGTTCCCAAGAGGTAACTGCATGGTTCTTCAATTGCCATAAATTTTTGAGTAGTGTTCTTCTGCAGCTAGAGATTTTCTTACCAATACAGCTATGTGCCATGATAGTTTTATCATTTCATCTGGATCACTGTCATAGAATACTTTATAGACTTTTTTCTTTGAATCATTGTAGTACAAACTAATTTGTGCAACATAAGTGCAGAATTTTTTCCTCAATTTCTTCTTATAGTACATAGTCTTGTTTGAGAGATCTCGTCTTTTCACTTGTTATGTTTCATTGCCTATCAAGAACACACCTATTTCAGGCCGAATCCTAATGCCCCATAAGATATACTGCAACTTGGCTGCAGCTGTATCAGGTTCAGTTAGAGGTGACGAAATGGCTTGGTCGACCCAAGCCCGGTCCAGAGCCTGCTCTACTCGATTTCTAGTTGTTTTCCATATTTTCTCTAAACTGTAGTAAGAAGTACGTCAGAGGGGGACAAGCTTATCTGAGCCTTGCAATTTTCTTTTGACCATCTATTTGACACCTCGACTCGGATTCCTTTAACATGCTCTTGTTTTCAAGATCACCTTTGGATTTTGGTGGAGTGAGTAGTATGTGTGACGTGGTCATTTTCATAGTCAGGATTGGGACAAGGCTCTTGAAGCCCAAACATGAGGGCCCGGAAACATGTCTGGTTGGTGGAAAGCCTTTAGTGCGTACCCACCAAAACCATACATTATTTCTTGATACTCACATTCTCCATTTCTACCTTCCATCTAATAGCGAGACATAATATTCTTCAATATTAGGAAATTTCTTCTTCAGATCCACGAGGAATACAATATTATTGAATGTAGTTCTTTTTGTACAAGGTAAAACTGCATTCCGTTTAAATATGAAAGCAAGAACCAACATATAATAACAAACTTGACCGTTTTAGATGAGAGTTGAGATTTGTTGTCCAGCTTTTGTCGTCCAATTTATTGTCCATCCAGTTAATTATTGACATGTCAATTTATATTAACATGTCGTCAATTTGGTGAGTTAGTTGTGGAGTTAATAAGGGTAAATTGGAGGTGACATGTTAATTTAAAAATAACGTGTCAATAATTAATTGGGCGAATGGTAAAAATTGGTCAATAGATCTCAACTCTATCAGAGCATTGAAAAGTTAAAGCCTCTCGAATTGTTGTTTCAAAATGAGTTATAATCTTGCAGTGAAAATAAGGATTTATTTCATGTAAATTTTTTTGGCAGAGATTTTGTGAAGTAATTTATTTGAAGAATGTGTTCACTTGTAAAATTATTTTATTGAAAGTGGTTGAAAATAAGTTTGAAAAAATATGTATAAAACAAGTGTTAAATGTCACGGCTTGGATGACTCCTTTTAATGGGGTTATCAAGTCTCCCTTGTGCACACAATCAGTGGAGGACCCAGCACAAAAGTTCAATCCGAGCGGACGTTGATCATTGATCGTCGACAATCAATGATCGTAAGAATGAGATCGTCTGTTAATATATAATTAAATAATATTGAAAATAAGATTAAGCTTAAAGTTCTTTTTACTTACGAGTAAGTTTATTTAAGTAAAAAAGTAATTTTGAAATAAATATTTTTTATAGACCAGTTGTCGTATCTTTATACTCGTTTGAATTAATGAAAATCTTTAACTGCTTCCTTTGAAAATCATGAAGAAGACAAGAAAATAAAATAAAAGTTTAACAATATATTTTGCATGGAATGCGGATTAAAGATGTGACATTTCAGACTTGTTACAAGAATAATACAAAGATTATTAGATTAATCATTAACTTATTCAAATATATAAATATCTCAAGAAAAAGACACAAAATTTGTGTTTGCCATTTTCTCTCTCTTATTTTTCACAATGTTTCTTAATCAATCCCAACATTCCTTTTGAGTCAATTTGAAGGTCATTATGAGTGCAATTTCATATTAAAAGAAGGCCCAATTATCTCAACCCAAAATAAATCGGCCAAAATTGGAAAAAAGGGGTCCAGCTTACCTGAAACGGCGTCTTCTTCTTCCCTCGTCTTCTCTGTTCTCTCTACAACAGGATTGCACAATGACCCGATGACGCGACGATATTGAAAACTCCGACGGATCCAGTACGAATAGCCGCGCCCCTCATCTGATGCTGGGTCCGCCCCTGCACATAATCATTGCCAATGCAAATGGCATAATTGGATGTGTATAGATGACCAATTCTGCTAACATGAGATGTTTAAAGTATAAAGTTCAGACCTATATACTTGAAAAGTATATATCATATCGGTGTATTGATACCTCGATTTTTTTTCTTTTTTACGTCACTTTTTAACTATATTAAAGATTTTAGATCTTTGTTCATTGTCGCACTTACGTAATTTTTTTTTTCTTTCATTCTTATTTCAACACTCTATTAGTTAGCATATCTAGTTCCTTATAGCAGTTTCAATTCAAAAAATTCCCTAAAGAAGAAATAAAAATACTTAGTTCCCTTAATATGTTTGAATAAGCAAAAAA